AACACACCGATGCTAAGTCTATCCTACGCTGCTTTTATATCTTTCGGACGGACTAATTAATCTATTTTTAGCATCGGATGATTGTTCTCTAAATTTATCACTATTCTCTCTCGCTGCTGCTAATGCGCTTCTAATGCGCTTCTAGTGCAACAATTATTATAATTAGTGCGACCGCCTCTAGTGCTTCTAGTGCGACCGCTTGCTTCTAGTGCGACCGTAAATTCTAGTACCACCGTTAGAATTCTATCGCCGATTTCTGAGGTTCTGGTGATACTAATGGGTTCCACAGAAATTTAGGAAGGAATACGTCATTGCATACGCTTGCATCATCACATGGATAACTGCGCCTAATAAGAAATCATCACATGGATAACTGCGCCTAATAAAGGACACGACAAAAACAAATTTACGATTAACCTATCGGACTCTTTTGTCCCAGACTACTATTAACTAACTATACGTCAGGTAGAAGAATGAAACAATACGATGAAGGAAGACTCTATCAACCGTTAATCTTTTCGTTGAGACGCAACGATCAAGAGAAGGCTTTTAGAATTAAGGCTGAGCATAAAGCTAAACTAAAACGTCAGGTCAGCTGAATGACTACTTTTTCGGCACAACAACTATAGCTTGTTTTTTTTTTTCAAGTACGTTCTCGCACCAAACGACAATATGATTTTCCCACGCAAGAAGCGAAAGAGTGAAACATAGTGAAGCGTGACGTTTATAGAAGTATTAGTGCACTGTCAGTAAATTTGAAAGTAAAGGTAAATGGTTGTAGTCTAGGACGATTAAAGAAACACTTATTTAAAAATAAGACAGTTCTATAGGTAACTAAATTGCAAAACTTCGGGTAGTATATGTCTTTTATCATTAATACCTTTTTTTTTGACGGAGAGATCCAACTTCAATACTTTCTTACCAAGAAGCACCCAATACAGTGTATTTAGTAAAACTCGCATTATTGCTTGGCTTGCACGTTTCTCATAAAATGGACAAGCATATGTATGATAGAGTAGTAAAATATTTTTGTAACTATTACTGATACCAACGACTAAGCAAAATTAATGCTTTTCGCTTTGTTTGGATTAATATGGAATATACACTCGAACAAAAAGACACTTATTTTAGTTTGTCTCACTCACAACATAAAATATTATGCGGTGCCATGTTCAACTTTGTCAAAGTTTTGTTTATTTAGAATTGCTAGATGGGGAGTACTTTGATCCTAACCAATCAACCAGATTAGAGGCTACGCATTATCGTGGTTAGATACGAGGTACAGCGTCCGCGAACAAATAAGTTGCCTTGTTCGCTTCGGGAAATGTGGCGCGAACTTGTCTACAATCACAGCATATTAAAAACAATTATTAATAGAATTTTACCAAACTCAATTTCTTCTTTCTTCAACCAGTGACAAGATTGTATTTATAGCATAATACACGCCAAAGAAGATTAATTTACATCTGATATCAGTTATCAATGACTAACAAACACGATAAGATCCTAAGTGGCTTGTTAGAAACATTTGAATGCAGTCTTATCATGATGCGGCCTATTTTTTTTTCATGAAATAAAGACAACCAATGAATAACGGTTTACTCAGAGAGGTTGTCAATTGTCATACTTTATGTCATTAAAGGGGGGCTCGCTTATTTCCGTCTTTTGCGAAAAAGTGAAAATTGATGGATAACACAATACTCATTTGTATATTTTAGTTCCTTTACAAAAATGGCAAGTCGCATAAATAGATTGATTAGATAACTTGAGGTCGCGCAACGACCAGATTCAAATCGTCAGCAAAGTATTAGAGAAAGAATTGTTGCCTCTACTCGACCATTTTTTACCATTACCATTTTACTTTGTAACAAGTCCTCTCATTGTTCTTAGTGTACCAATACAATTTTGCCTTGGCAAAGTATGACAAATTAGATACCGCTTTGTGAAACGCATTCAATTTCTGATACACTGCCTGAAATGGACGAATATCACTAGCGATCATAAATACAGTTAAAATTTCACTCTCTTTCTTTTACCTCTTCCCCCGCCCTATCCATTCTTTTCGCACACATTCCTACCAATATCTAACCCACCTCCACGTGTTTGCTTAAATCCGTATCACCAAAAAGACATTATAGATCGTTGTTTGGTAGCTCTTTCCGTTTTAATTAGAGGGAACTGTTTGAAAGCAGTTCTCGGGTTTTGCTGATTGTGCTAAAATCTCGCCTCTATAGAAAGTCAGATTTCGTTTGCACATAAAAAAACCTTAATTGCAAACACATAGATTGCACATTCTTTATCCCGTGCTGGCACTATATATTATGAGCATACATAACAACGTCACTACTTTGCGATAGCAATAGAAAGCAAACACCTTAGAGGGTTATACCACATTCCTTTCTTTTCCCCTACGCTCTCTGAACATATTATCATCAAGACTATAAAAAAGATGAAATTCTTCACATTATTTATACTTTTTCTAATTTATATGACCACTGGTTCAGCTCAACAAATAAATGACATTAATACCCCGACGATAACATCTCCATCCATACCCGACTTTACCGTCACTTCTACTCTTGATGATGATGCCATAGCTACGGTTGCAACAATCGCAAATCCACCAGAAGAAACTCCTTACGCGACCGATACGGAAACGACAACAGATACTTCCAGCACAGATACTTTCAACACAGATGCTTCCAGTACAGATACTTCCAGTACAGATACTTCCAGTACAGATACCCCTACCACCACAACAAGTTCTCCCAGTCCAACGGGTCAAATTCAATCCAGTATTACAGAGGAGCAACTTCTGTTTGATGAGCATAACCATTACGTGGTGGTTATGAACCGCACCACGGGAACGGATTACAACAAACATTGGAAATGGTTGAAAAAGCTTTCCGATGATGTAGATGAATTGTCGCATGTGAGCAGCAACGTTAGTAAAATCGGTAACTTTGCTTGGTATACTGGTGCTTTCGACAGAAAGGCTTTGCAGACTATAAACGATAGCGATGTCGTGAGTTATATCGTGCCAGATGCAAATTTTAGTACATACGACAAAATGCAGATATCTCCGCCTAGTTGGGTAAGCATGAGAGTGATTGGTAGATAGTGGTGAGAGAGGTGGGCGGAAATTGATGTGGTGGTATTCAAAAATAATTATCATCGATTCTGTACATACCCTATGTGTCTCTTGACACGGACGGGCATTCAAGCATAAATTGCCGAAACGTTATTTTGTTTGTTCGCATCCACATGATCCCATATTTGCCTAACACTAACATAAACGCGTGCATGCTTATCTTTGAAACAGGGCTTAAAACGTATAGATCAAAGAACACTTCCACTCGACAATCATTACATCTACCCAGATTCAGCCGGCGAGGGCGTGACAATATACGTTCTTGATACCGGGGTCAACCTCAATCATGCCGATTTCGAAGGGCGCGCAACATTCGGTGCTTCGTTCGTTGGCGATCCCTCAGATAAGACCGATCCTAATGGTCATGGAACATTTGTTGCTGGCGTCGCAGCTGGCAAATTATTTGGGGTGGCCAAGAAAGCGCGTATTGTTTCGGTCAGAGCATTAGAGGCCGACGGATCAGGCAAATTGAGTATTATCTTGAAAGCGATTGAATGGATCGTAAAACAGCAGGGTACATCTGACAACAAGAAGAGCGTTGTGAATTTATCGCTTGGAGCCGCTTTCAGTCAACCGACAAATGATGCCATACAGGAAGCTATCAAGTCTGGAATACATTTTTCTATTGCCGCTGGAAATGAGGGCAAAGATGCTTGTCAGTTCTCGCCTGCATCTGTCAGGGGAGCGTTGGTGGTTGGCGCTACTAATTCTGATGACACTGTTGCGAAATATTCCAATATTGGAGATTGTGTAGATATGTGAGTTTTT